TTTGTTTCTTGTGAATGTCATATATTAGGCTTTGATTATTTTAAATAGTTTCATACTCCCTTCTAACTGGATTGTTTAGCACACTTATATTGAATATAATTAATGGTGTAGGCTTTATAGCTAAACTTTTGCTGTTTTTCCAAGTTGTCCTGTCCTTTGTTCCTTTAGTCCTTTTGTCCTTTCTTTCGTGTTTTAAAATTTATTTATTTATTTATTTATTTTTGGCTGCATTGGGTCTTCGTTGCTGCGTGCGGGCTTTAGTTGCAGCAAGCGGGGGCTACTCTTCGTTTCTGTGCATGGGCTTCTCATTGCGGTGGCTTCTCTTGTTGCGGAGCACGGGCTCTAGGCACGTGGGCTTCAGTAGTTGTGGCTCGCAGGCCCTAGAGCGCAGGCTCAGTAGTTGTGGCGCACGGGCTTAGTTGCTCTGCAGCATGTGGGATCTTCCCAGACCAGGGCTCGAACCCATACCCCCTGCATTGGCAGGTGGATTCTTAACCACTGCGCCAGTAGGGAAGTCCCTGTCCTTTCTTCTGGATTCATTGCTGGTTTTGTTTTAATTCCATTTTCCCCTTGAATCTTAGATTTTTAAGTTATTCTCATAAGTATCTTAATATTACCTGTTTCCCTAGAGATTACAGTATTTATCTACAATTTATTCGTTTTCTTGAATTAGTACTTTTACCGCTTGCCAAATAATGAAAGGATCATACAAGTACATACACTTAAACCTTTCTTCCACCCTTCCATGGTGTTATATATGTATAATATATAGCCACAGTTACGTATTCCACATTATATATTTTTTAACAGTATATATCTTCAAGACATTACTGCTGCTTAAGTAGTCAATACTCTTTCATATTTGCCCATATATTTACCCTTTCCATTGCTCTTCATTCTTCCTTCTGGTTCTATACTACCATCTGGGGTCATTTTCCTTTGGGCTGAAGTACTTCCTTAAGTATTTTTGTAGCACAGGTCTGCTGGTGCTTAATTCTTTCAGCTTTTGTCCATCTGAAAATGCCTTTATTTTGCCTTCCCTTTTGAGAATATTTTCACTAAGTTGACAGATCTTTTTCAGTGCTTTAAAGATTCTGGCTTCCAAAGTTTCTGCTGAAAAGTCAGCCATCGCTCCTTCAAAGGTTACATGGTATTTCCCTCTGGCCGTCTTTAGAATTTTCTGTCTTTGGTTTCCAGCCGTTTGACTATGATATTCTTAGGTGTGTTCTGTTTTCTTTTGTTTTGTTATTCCATAATGAGTTTGCTGAGTTTTATGAATCTGTGGGTTGATGTTTGTCAACGGTTATGGAAAATTCTCAGCCATTATTTCATCAAATATTGCTTCTGCCCCATTCCCTTTTATGTCTGGGACCTCAATTACATGTTTCTTATGCTCTTTTGTTTGTTTTGTTTGTGCATTCTTTTTACTCTCTGCTTGGATTTTTTCTATTGGCCTATCTTCAAGCACTAATCCTGTCTTCTGCTGTGTGCACTCTGCTGTTAGACCCACATGATGAATTCTTAATTTCAGATTTGAGCTTTTATTTCTTTTTTTTTCCAAACAGCTTTACTGAGGTATAATTTACAAACTGTAGAATTCACCCATTTTAGATGAACAAAATTAAATGATTTTTAGTAAATTTATAAAGTTGAGCAGCCATTAGCACAATTTTTTTTCCCTCTTTCCTCTTTAAGAATATATTTTGGATAACATTTAAATTGAACTTTAATTCAAATACAAGGGAAATCGACATCACTAACTTTGCTAATCAACCTGTGTATACACTGATTATCCAAAAGTTTTAAGCAGGCAGAATTGCCCCCGTTGTAATTTTTTTTTAATTGAGATATAATTTATATATCATAAAGTTTACCCTTTTAAAGTATACAATTCAGTGGGTTTTAGTATATTCACAAAGTTGTGCAATCATCACTATTGGCTAATTCCAGAACATTTTCATCACTCCAAAAAGAAACCTGTAGTCACTAGTCACTCCCCATTCTCTCCCCCTCCAGCTCTTGGCAACCACTAATCTACTGTCTGTCGCTATAGATTTGTCTATGCTGGGCATTTCATATAAGTGGAACCATAAAATATGTAGCCTTTTGTGTCTGGCTTCACTAAGCATAATGTTTTCAAGGTTCATGTTGTAGCTTGTATCAGTACTTTTTTAATGGCCATGATATAGGTATGTTTATCCAGTCACTGGTTGATGGACATTTAGGTTGTTTCCATTTTGGGCTACTATGAAGAATGATGCCATGAACATCTATGTACAATGATGTAGTTTTCAACTCTCCTGGTTATAAACCTAGGAGTGGAATTGCTGGATCATAGGGTAGCTCTGTGCTTAACTTTTTGAGGAACTGCCACACTGTTTTCCAAAGTGGCTGCACAATTTTACATTCCCGCTAGCAATGTATGAGAGTTCTAATTTCTCCACATCACTGCACTTATAATTATCTGTCTTCTTAATTATAGCCATCCTAGAGGGTGTTTTTTGTGGTTTTTGATTTACACTTCCCCAATGACTAATAATGTTAAGCTTCTATGTATTTATTAGTCATCTGTATATCTTATTTGGAGACATGTATATTTAAATCCTTCCTCATTTTTTAATTGGGTTGTCTCTCTATTATTGAGTTGTAAGAATTCTTTATGTGTTCTGGATACTAGACCCTTATCTACAATCCATGTTTAAAACAGACCACTCACGTCCATTTGTGGTCAATTCCCTCTCCCACCCCTAGTGACTGGCAACCACTAAGCCGCAGCTGCTTTCCGTGTGTTTCAGGTAAGCCCTCCCTCTAATGAAATTCTTTCTCCTAAGTATTGTGTCATCGTGGGAGATTTCACTCTGCCTCTTGGAGGCCCTGGGCTTAGCTTCTAGCATGGCATGTAGAGCTCTGGAATTCAGCAAATGTCCTGTGAGAACACCAGTCACATATTTAAGATGTCTCCGGTTTCCAGTATGCCCTATCACCAAGAGCCTTATGATTTTCTTTTACCCAGTAAAGCCCTCTCCATGGGCCAAACCCAATCCTCACTTCCAGGCCCAGAATCAGGAAATGCCCCCAAAGGAAAAAATGGCCAGACCATCAGTTCACCTCAGAAAGGCTTTCTCCTCTGAAATCCAATTCATTTAGTCCTTATTGCTTCCAGTTTTCTGATGTTTAAGAATAGTATTTTAATGTTTTAAACCAGTTTTTTCTGGTAGTTGCAGCAGGAGTGCTGTGTTTGTGTGACTTACTATATCCTACCCAGCAATTACTATAAGCTTTTAAGACTTTATATCTTGTCAAGCAAGTTTCCTTTCTTTCCCTCCCCCCTCCAGATATATGTTGGCTATTTGGGGGCCACACTTCTTCCATATGAATGTTTTAAATCCATTTATCTGTGTTCCCAAAAAGTCCTCTTGGGATTTTGTTGGGAAAATATATTGCATTTATAAATTATTTAAGACAGAATTGAAATTCTTATACTTTTACATTCTCCATCCGTGAACATGGTACACTTGTCCACTGAGCAGGTTTCTATTAGGTCCTTTGATAATATTTTGTACTTTTCTCCATAAAGGAATTGCACATTCTTTATTAGACTTGATCCTAAATATCTTAGAAATTATCTTTTAAAACACTTCTAATTTTTTAGAATAGGTAATATATTTATGGTACAAATTTCCAAAAGCTCAAAAAAGTATACACTGACAATTTCCCATCCATTTTTCTCAGTCACCCAGTTTTCTTCCAGAAGAAACCAACGTTACTAGTTTATTTATTTTTTAAATAAATTTATTGATTTATTTATTGGCTGTGTTTGGTCTTCCTTGCTGCACGCAGGCTTTCTCTAGTTGCAGCGAGCAGGGGCTACTCTTCGTTGTGGTGCGTGGCCTTCTCATTGCGGTGGCTTCTCTTGTTGCAGAGCACGGGGTCTAGCCATGCAGGCTTCAGTAGTTGTGGCTCACGGGCTCCAGAGCACAGGCTCGGTAGCCGTGGCACACGGGCCCAGTTGCTCCGCACATGTGGGATCTCCCCGGACCAGGGCTTGAACCCGTGTCCCCTGCATTGGCAGGCAGGTTCCTAACTACTGCGCCACCAGGGAAGCCCTAGTTTATTTTTAACGTAGTTAATATTAGTATATAGAAATTACATTGATTTTTGTTCCTAAATCTTTTATCTAGTAAGCATCTGAATTTTATTATTATTTTTTTGGCTGCACTGGGTCTTCGTTGCTGCGTGCGGGCTTTCTCTAGCTGTGGCAAGCAAGGGCTACTCTTCGTTGCGGTGCGCGGGCTTCTCATTGCAGTGGCTTCTCTTGTTGCAGAGCATGGGCACGCGGGCTCAGTAGTTGTGGCTTGTGGGCTCTAGAGCACAGGCTCAGTAGTCGTGGTGCACGGGCTTAGCTGCCCTGCGGCCTGTGGGATCTTCCCGGGTCAGGGATCAAACCCATGTCCCCTGCATTGGCAGGCGGATTCTTAACCACTGTGCCACTAGGGAAGCCCCTGAATTTTATATTTCTAACAGTAGGTTACTTTGAATTTTTTATATATGCATCATCTGCAAAGAAGTCATCTGGTCTATTCTTTTACATTCCTTATTCTTTTTACTGATTTTACTGCATTGGTGTAGGATGCCTCTAATAAAGCAGCTATGGAAAATAGCTGAATAATAGCTGTGACAGAAGGCAATCCTGTTTTATTTCTGACTTTAATGAGAGGGCTTCTGTTTCATATTTATGTATGAAATTTGCTGTAGGTTCTTGGCAGATGTCTTTATTGGGTTAAAAAAAGTTAATCTCTGGTCCTATTTCACTAAGAATGGTTAGCATGAAAGTTTTTATAAATTATTTTATGCACCTATTGAGATGAACATATGTTTTCCTCCTTTAATCTACTAAATGTGCTGAATCGCCACTCATGAAAAAAAAAGTAGTCTCAAATAAAACACTTTTACCCCAAATTGTTATTTATTTTCATGAGGGGGTAAAAAAGAACCTTTTATGATAGTGAAAATATACTTTATTTTTTAATACAATAGCTGCCAGCAATATACTGGTTCCAGAGACAGAAAAGAAAATACAAGCATTCTATAAGCTTTCATTTTCCTTTTCAACTAATTTAAAGAAAATACTCCAATTCTGTTCAACATTATGATTTGGGGGATTTGAATTTTTTTTCCATGATAAAAATATAATTTTGACAGCCCCAGCCTTAGTAATTTGTAAAGGATGGAATAAAAAAGACCATATATTATAACAATAATGAATGCTTCCCTCTCTTTGAATCAAATACTGATTATAACCAGTGTAAGAAATTGGTTAATCAATAAACTTGATGAAATGTGTATCAAAATGTTCATGAAAAAATACATTTCTATTTCTTCTCATTTTTACCATGTAGATATTTTCTAAATGGATATTTTAAATGCACAGAAACAAAAGCTATCTACATGCAACTCTGGAGAGATTCAAAACAACAGAAGTAAATATGCCTAAATTCTAAAGTCAATCAACTGAGTGTAAGAATAAATGTCAGAAACCTCTTCATTGTATACAGATTGCTCAAGGGTTTAAAGATAGTTGTATTAAAAAATAATAATAATAAAGGTAGTTGTATAAACCAAAGTTACCAAGAAATAAAATCTTACATGAATTTTATCACTAAAGTCAACAATCCTAGTAAAAGAAAATAACAGAACTGTATAGAAAATCTGCATCTACATTTTTTAAAAAAGGAAGTTACATCAACTGAAACAGTAGACAGCTTTCCAAATGTTGAACACAAAAATTTCTCAGAATCCCTTGGAAATTAGTAAGATCTTCCATTCAGAGTCTAATCTCCGTGTTTAAATGGAACAAAAGGGGTTTAAATGAAGGGGAAAATGATTCAGTAGTTGTAGAAATAATAACAGATGATTTCTACTGTGTCAACCCATATACTACATGAACTGCCATGAAAACTTTCATGTCCCAAATCTCCCAAGACATGAAGCTACGATCTTTCCACAAATGTAAGATGGGGTAAAAAGCATATTCTAGGATCATCTTTCTTAGTAGCTTTCGTTCATTTGCCAATCTCAACCTCATCTAATTTCCCTGATAAAGTAATACGATTTGTCTTTCAACAGAAAAATAATTCTGCCTTCATCAAACTTATAACAGATAGACCTTGCCTTCCTTGGACATCCAGAGAGACAGCCAAGTACAATCAGGGGATAAATTTTTAAAAAGGAGAAGAAGAAGAGAATAAATATCCAAAGTGGAAAACACTTCACAACTGAGTTTCAGAATGTGTTTTTTCATCCGTTTTGAGGACTGTAGCTCTTTCCTCATTAGCCTTCTACTCTGTACCACTTAATCCACTGTTCACTTGAAATAGACACCCCCACTTCTCTTGAATCTTTTCCATGCTTTAAGCTATGAGGCAAGATTCAATATCACCTGATGCCAAGTTACCACTATCGTAAAAGTAAGTGAAAAGTGAAGATGGCTGTCTGTGTATTGGTGCAGAGGTGACATATTCACCCATGGAAGCTACTGCTATAGAATTTCTCAGTATATAACCTGATAATGCTTCTTGCTGGAACAAGATAAATCATCATCCAACATTTTATTACAAAAAGGTGGGTACCCAAACTTTTGATCAGCAATAAGGAGTTCTAAGAAAGGTAAAGCAAAGAAATCTCCCTGAGCCAAATGGACACAATATGGAGTTTTTCTTATCTTTCTATACCAAGCTAGTCACTGATAGGTTTAAACAATGCAGAATGCTTATTAAAAAATCAAGCTGCTTCCATAAAGCCAGTGCTTACTAAACGTTAGCATATCATAGGGAAGAAAACACTGCCATTTTAAAGCAATATACTTAAAATTTCCAAAAGCAGCCTATGAGAAATAGCATTTCTTAAACAGGTTAGGTATAAAAATTACCAAAACATTATTATAGTCACAATCACAGTCTTTGGAGTAGTACATAGAAAGTCTTTTTTTTTTTAATGAATAAATACATAGCAAACTTTTGTTTTATTTTCACCAAGTTCATCCTCCCTTGTTACAACACAATTCCTGGTTTAGGACTTCAATTTAAGAAACAAACATGAAGACTGCTATTCCTCAATGTGGCTGTAGGAAGATTTAATTGAAGGAAGTGCAATGATTGAGATTAGGCAAAACTGCAGTCAATATGTAGTCACCGTCACAACTATAATTTAGTCCAAAAGAAGTGAACCATCCTCTACCCAAAGTCTAACAGTAAATGGGGGTGGAGTGGTAATCTATGTGTTTTATCTTGCTTTTAATATAGGATGGATAATGCATTCTTTAGATTATCCACATTAAACGTGCTTTAGAAACAAAATTCTACTTGATATTTTGACAAACCCACACTACATTCCTTAGGTTAGTTTTTACATTACTAACCATTGTACTGCTACAGCTAAATCAACTAAATATCAGTGTACGTAGTGTCGCTCAAACGATCTACAAACAGCAAGGCCGATGCCTACCTAAAAAAAGGAGCATTTTTAAAATAAAGGAAGAAAGTAATAATGTTCCAAATGAATGGCACTGGGCAAAATACATATAACCAGTAACATATTTAGACAGAGAGTATCACGTGCCCATTGGTTTCTCTTATATGCATAAAAGGCTTGAAGAAGATCTTGCAAATATTGTCCTCCCCTCTAGACTTTTAGCTTCTACGTAGTGTCAGATATTATAATTGATATGAAGGATAAATGCGTTTAGGCAAAAGTAAAAATCCACATACAAAGTAACATAGCAATATCTGTAGTGACTTTCTGGAGAAGGCTCTCTTCTCTGGTGGTAACATCCTTTAGTACATATCCAGGATAGACTAAATTGAAACAGAATATTTTGATACAGTAGCAATCCTTTCATATACTCTTACTAAATATTATAAAATTCCAAAAATGCATAAATATTCCTTGTACCGTGCATTATGCACCAGTTTGGGCCTGATGAGGTTGTGATTACTATTTTAACAGTTCAACAGTGCACCTCAAAAGTTCTGCCATCTATACACAGTGAATGGAGACAGTGGTGAGGGCTCTAGAGAGATGGCAAACTGCCTTTAAAGTGAAAAGTTTTTATGGAGTGTCTCCAAATTAGGAGGATACGGGGTAGGGGAGGTAGGCAGGGTAAAAGAACTTTAAAATAATACTGCTTAGGAGTATATATTTAAAGATAGCTACTATACCTTGTCTATCCTTCATCCTAATCTGGAATAACTGCATGTTTGTGCAAAATAAAGTTTCTATCTTATAGGAAGAGGAGCAGTCTGTTAGGAAAAGCATGTTCTTAGGGGAAGATGTGAAGACATCTCTCTCGTAAGTGTTATTTTATTTGGTAAGTCTTTTGGCTACATCACTATATGCTATTTCAACCTCCTTATCACTGGGGCAGGTATTGGTGAACTCATCCCTACTATATGCGTTAGTTAAGTATCTCCAGATGCCGGTCATTCCTTTTGGAATATCAAAGTTGCGATATTTTTTGGCCACCACCTGAAATACAAAGAGATCAAAAATTAACATTTATATGCCATGTCTTATAAACCAGACATATATCTGATTTCAGGGCAAATTAATTCTGTGAATCTCTGAAAACTGCTTCTACCTTAAGTCTGTCACCTTCATTCTAACTAGACTTTTAAATAAGGACTGCACGCTACACCAGAGATTCAGAAGTGTGATGGTCATTGCAAATGCCTGCCTTGGCCATCCAGAGAAACAGCCAAGTATAATCACTGGATAAATACTTTAAACACACACACACTAGATCTCTGTTTTTCTTGATCTTGATCTTTACTGCACAACCATCCTACACAGCATAGTGTTTCACACAATAAATGCTCAATAAATATTTTCTGCCTTGAAAAGAAAAACCCAGGTGATCAGAGAACAAAGTTTGATGCTATAAGTCAGTGTAGCCACCACTTCAAAGTTACCTGTTACATCTTTGAATTTTTATGCAGTCACAGAAAAAAAAAATCCTATTTGTCATATGCCTTGATTTTAAGACATAATCTTCCATTTAATCAACCCTAGGGTGTTTCAACTATTGCCTGAACAACATTAGGTTACACTATTTGGGGGGTGCTAAACAGTGCGTGTCAGAAGATCAGCCAAGTTTTACACAGAGGAAGTGCTGCCTTAGTAAACAGATACTAGGTGTAATAGTGCCCCACATCCTGCAGGCCTACCTTGACAATGTGCAGTTTGGGCAGAAGGTTGCAATCAGCTAGTGTCATTTCATTGCCATCCAGAAATTTACGTGTGGAAAACTTAATGTCCTCCATACTATTCTCATCAATTTCATCGGGGAGGGGAGAATTCAGATATTCATCCAGTTTCTGCAGTGTTTTCAAGAGACCCCTCTCCAATGCTGAAAGAAAAATGGAAATACTCTAAGAAGAAAAACCACCCAAGCCCCAAGTAGAAGCGTTACTCCTTCAGTCAATAACTATTTGTCAAATGTTTCTCTGACACAGGAGAACAAAACAGACAATCTCATGGAGCTTATTTACTTGGGGGGAGAGAGATAAGACAAACAAATTTATAGATAAAATTATAGATAAATATTTTTAAAAAAGCATGATAATTTCAGATAGTGGTATCTATAAAAATTTGTTAATAACTAAATGCCCCATATACAAACACATCATGGCCCAATACAGTTGATATTTAAACTGGGGGAAAAAATGGGTGAGAAAAGGTAAACCTATTATTTCAAATCTAGGAAAACCTTGCCAAGACAGATTCTTGCCCTCAATTTTTAGTCCTGCTCCCGTAAAAGTATTTGGATTTATATCCATGAACTGTGTTAAGAAACTCCGATCCCAGCACTCCAAGCAGAGAAGCCTGAAGTTTCTGCACTGCCTTAATATTCATAAGAAGCCAAAAATAGCACTATCTTAAATAACATGAAAAATAGAGGTCAGATTAGAAAGTCCAATTTACAATCTGAATTGGAGGCCTCATTAGCAAAATAGATCAAGATACTATATGTTATAATTCAGAGAGAAGCAGGATGCAGCCACCCTGTATATCTAGAAAGTCAAGGTTAGTGACCCTTAGCAAAGAGGGGATGGGAACATCATTAGAAAGGAATATGAAACTAACAAAAGACAGATCCTCCCTTATCCCTTTTTGTCTTTTATCCTCTCAACCCACCTTCACCTCCCGCTCCCAGAATAGATGCGTTCACACTCATGAGTACAGTACTCGGCCATAACAGAAAGTTAAAATCACGAGGTGACACTCCATATTAGTTATAACTTTGAATAAAGTTGGATCCATCACAGAAAAAGGCAAAGTTTTACATGCTGTATATTAGATATTTCACCAGCAACATAAATGTCCTAACCTTATACCTCTTCTTCCAAACTGGTCCCACTGACTCATCCCTTGATCCCTTCAAAGTAGTCCAGACAACAGATGGTAGTCTTAGCTAGGTAGGGGCTGTAGGCATTACAAGGATTTTATAAGTACTTAGGAGATAAAAACCTACCGAGCTTGGAAACCAAACTGAATATGGAAAAAGGAGGATAGAAGTATTCAACAAAATACAAATGGAGGCCCTACTACATGCCAAGTTTTGTACCAAGCATCGTTAAATTCACTACTGAATGAAACATAAAAGGTTCCTACTCTCAGTTTATATTTTGGGGCTCATCAACAAAAGATTCCCAGGGTGAATGCTGGTACCATTGCTGAGACATGTACCTTCCTAGAGGAGAAGCAGATTCAGGAAATGTGGAGATGAGTTCAGTATATGCTGACTTTGAGGTGTCTGTAAGACATCTGAGCAGCGATGTCCACAGACAGTTGAGTTCTAGTCTGGAACAGACTAGGCTGGGGCAATATATTTGTAAGTCCTGAAAGCACAAATGAACGCTGAAGTCACGGAAATGAAGGAGAAGCAGAGGGCCTAGGACAGAACCCTAAGGAACATCACTGATGGTGTTGTGTGAGGCAGATAATACATTTTTGTCATTATTTGGCATTTCATTATATGATTATAGAATAAATACGTATCCATTCTACTGTTAATGACATTTGTGTTGTTTACAGTTGGGGCTTCTTGTGCAAATCTCTTGGTGTGCATCTATTCATATTCCTATCAAAAATGGAATTGTGGATATCTCATACCTGTTAGAATGGTCATAATCAAAAAGACAAGAAATAACAAGTGTTGGTGAGGATGTGGAGAAAAGGGAACCCTTAGGCACCATTGATGGGAGTGTAAATTGGTGCAGCCACTGTGGAGAACAGTATGGAGGTTCCTCAAAAAATTAAAAACAGAACTACCATGTAATCCAGCAATATCAATTCTGGATATTTATCCAATATGGAAACCACCTAAGTGCCCACTGACAAATGAATGGATAAAGAAAATGTGGTGTATACACACACACACACACACACACACAGATCACATGCATATGACGGAATATTATTAAGCTACAAAAAAGAATGAAATCTTACCATTTGCAACAACACAGATGAAACTTGAGGGCATTATGCTAAGTCAGTCAAACAGAGAAAGACAAATACCATATGATCTCACTTATATGTAGACTCGTAAAAGACAGACAAACAAACAAGCTCATAAATATAGAGAACAGATTTGTGGTTGCCACAGGCAGGGGGTGGGCAAAATGGATGGAGTGACAATGATGTAATGTATAGCATGGCGACTACAGTTAATAATACTGTACTGCATTTTTGAAAGTTGCTAAGAGTTGTAAATCTTAAAAGTTCTCATCACAAGAAAAAAAATTTGTATCTACATGTGGTGATTGATGTTAACTAGATTTATTGTGGTCATCATTTCACATAGTATACAAATATCAAACCATGTAGTACATCTGAAACTAATAAATGTCAATGATACCTCAATAAAAATTTTTTTTCAATTTTTTTAAATGGAGATGTAGGTTATAGGGTATGTGTGTGTTCAGGTTTAGTAGAAACTGTGATCAGTTTTCCAAGTTCAGCACAGCAAGCAGCGGTGTATGGATGTTCCAGTTACTTCACATCTTCAACAACATTTGGTATTGTTGGTCTCTTTAATTTTAACCATTCTTGGGTATGACAAATTCGGTTTAACATATTTTCATATTTATTGACTCTTTGGATATCCTCTTTTTGTAAAGTGCTGTTTGCTCATTTTTCCTTTGGACTGTCTGTTGTACTGACTTGCAGTCTTTTTATATATGCAGATGCAAATCCTTTGTGGTTATATGTATTATGCATACCTTCCCCCTCTTCACTTGCTTAATGGTGACTTTTGATGAACGTAAGTTACTAAACCTAATGTAGTCCAATTTATTTTTTTTCTTTTCTGATCAGTACTTTGTGTTCAGCTTAAGAAACCTTACCTACTCCCAAATTATGAAGAAACCTTACCTACTCGCAAATTATGAAGCCATTCTCCATTATCTTCTAGGAGATATATTATTTACCATTCGTATTTATATCTACAATCCACTAAGAACTGATTGTGTATGGTGTGAGATAGGGATATTTTCTTGACTCTGTATTCTGTTCCACTGTTCTATTTGCCTACCCTTCTGTTAATATCACACTGTTTTAACTATTGTACCTTTATAACAAGTCTTGATATCAGGTAGTGGAAGTTTTCAAACACATCTTTCTTCGAGATCATCTTGGCTATTCTTGGCTCCTTACATTTCCCTAATAAACTGTACAATTAGCATGTTAATTTACACACACACACGCACATGCTGTTGGACTTTTGAATAATCTATAGATTCAACACAACCCCAAATTGCAAACTGGCATCTTTATAATTTTGAGTCTCCCAATCTATGAATATCATTTATTTCTTTTAAAATTTTCTTTTTATTTTATGAAATTGAAAGAAATTTCAATTTCTTTTGTTTTCTATGTAGAGGCCTTGCCCATTTTTGTTAAATTTATTCCTAAATATTTGACATTTTTTATTGTATAAATATTTTTATCACATTTTCTATTGTTTCTTGCTAACATGCACAAATACAATTGATTTTTATAATAGCCTCATATGCAACCACCCTGCTAATTCACTTTTTTTATTCTTATGGTTCATCAGTAGATTATTTTAGATTTTCTACATGTACAATTATATTAAGAATAATGACAAATTTATCCCTTCTTTTATAAGTCTCATACCTTTCATTACTTTTTCTTGTCTATTATACTGGCCAAGACCTCCAGTACAATGCTAAATAGAAGTGCTGACAGTAAGCATCCTTCTTCAGTTCTCAATTTCAAGAGGAAATCTTTCACTACTCCCCTATTATGATGCTTGCTGTAACTTTTCTGTAGATTCTCTGTCAGATTAAGGAAATTTCTTGCTGTATCTTTTTTGCAAATTTTTAAAAAATAAACATCTTAATCATAAGCATTAAATTTTATCAAGCACTTTTTCTGCATCAATTGAAATGACCACATAATTTTTCTTTTATTCTATTATTGTGATAATTCAAATAGATTTTTGAATGTCCAAACAATCTTCCATTCTTGAATTAAACTCAACTTGGTTATGTGCATTATCTTTTCTCATATTGCTGGATTTGGCATATTTTGTTTTAGACTTTTACATCTATGTTTCAGAGAGACTGGCCTGAAAGTTACTTTCTTTTGATGTTTTTGTGTGGTTTGACCTCAAAAAGCAAGTTGGAAAGTATTTCCTCTCTTCTGTTTCCTGGAAGAGTATATGCAAGACTGATGTTACATCTTTCCCAAATGCTTAGAAGAGTGAAGCCATCTTCGTGAAATGGTTTTTAATTCTAGATATAAGACGATTCACATCTTGAATCCGTTCTTGCAACAATTTTCTTACACTGTACTTTCTGTAAATTTATGCAATAGTGTTTTCAAATTTATAAGCATAGGGCTTCCCTGGTGGCACAGTGGTTAAGAATCCGCCTGCCAATGCAGGGGACATGGGTTCGATCCCTGGTCCGGGAAGATCCCACATGCCACGGAGCAACTAAGTCTGTGCGCCACAACTACTGAGCCTGGGCTCTAGAGCCCGCAAGCCACAGCTACTGTGCCCACGTGCCTAAAGCCCGTGCTCTGCAACAAGAGAAGCCACCTCAATGAGAAGTCCACACACTGCAATGAAGAGTGACCCCCGCTCACCACAACTAAAGAAAGCCCAGGCGCAGCAACAAAGACCCAACGCAGCCAAATATAAAAATACATTAATTTTTTAAAAAAATTTATAAACATTGTCATAATATCCTCCAAAAGTCATTTAAATGCAAGATCTGTAGTAATCCCCTTTTATTCCTAATATTGGTTATTGCTGCCTTCTCTCACTTTTCTTAATTTTTCTTGTCAAGCATTTATCAATTTTCTTATTAGACTTTTCAA